ATCTGAAAATGATAGATTTTCTGCAAATAATAAAAAATTAGAGGAGGAAAATAAAAAGTTTGAAGAGAACAATATTAGACTAGAGGCATCAGTGAACAAGTTAGAAGGTGAAAATAAAAAATTTGAAGAAAACAACAAAAGGTTAGAGGAATCTGTAAACAAATTAGAAGGTGAAAATAAGAAATTTGAAGAAAACAACAAAAGATTAGAAGAGTCTGTGAACAAATTAGAAGGGGAAAATAAAAAGTTTGAAGAAAACAACAAGAGATTAGAAGAATCTGTAAACAAATTAGAAGGGGAAAACAAAAAATTTGAAGAGAACAACAAAAGGTTAGAAGAGTCTGTGAACAAGTTAGAAAGTGAAAACAAGAAATTTGAAGAAAACAACAAAAAATTAGAGGAATCAGTACACAAGTTAGAAGGTGAAAACAAGAAATTTGAAGAAAACAACAAAAAGTTGGAGGAATCAGTACACAAGTTAGAAGGTGAAAACAAGAAATTTGAAGAAAACAACAAAAAATTGGAGGAATCGGTACACAAGTTAGAAGGTGAAAACAAGAAATTTGAAGAAAACAACAATAGATTACAAGAGTCTGTAAATAAACTTGAAGAGAACAATAACAGATTAGAAACTTCTGTAAATCAGCTTGAAGAAAACAACAAGCGGTTGGAAGACTCAATTGACAAGCTTGAAGGTGAAAACAAAAAGTTTGAAGAAAACAACAAAAAGTTAGAAGAAGAAAACAACCGCTTCCAAGAAAATAATGCAAAGTTAGAGTCAGAGGTTAACAGACTTGGTGGCGAAATAAATCGTTTGGAAGAAGAAAACAATAAATTTGCAGAAAATAATGAAAACCTTAAAAACAATGTTTCAAAACTGGAAGGAGAAGTCACTAAAATGTCACATTTAAATAAAGAATATGAAGTCAATAATAAAAAGCTTGAAGATAACGTGAACAAGTTAGAGGGGGAACTACACAAAATGGGAGAAGAAAATAAAAAGTTCGAAGTTAATAATAAGAAGCTTGAGGAGCAAGTTAATCAATTGACAGTAAGTTTTTATCATAATATGGTAAAATTTTCAAATAAGTATCATACCTAAGTATCAAAGGTTTTATGCACAAATATAAAATTTGAAAAAAAACTTTTTTTATTAATTTAGAGCGAAGTAGCGAAGATGACAGAAGAAAACAATAAATTTTCTGAAAATAACAACAAGTTGTCACAAGAAGTTACAAAAATATCTAAAGAAAACGAAAAGATGGCTGAAAACAACAAAAATTTAGCTGATGAAATTGCCCGACTGAAAGCAGAGATTGATAGAATGGTTGAAGAGAACAGAAAATTTGCTGAAAATAATGCAAATCTTAAACAACAGGTTTGCATTTAACTAATTGTTGCGTTTTAATTTTATTAGTTGCTGCATTTTAATTTTTTATTAGAAAATCATTAATTAATGAGAGTCTTTGCATAAAAACTTTAAAAACACTGAAATATTTTTATATTTTTATAAAATTATTAATAAAACATTTAACATATTGTCCAGCTTATAATCGATTTTTTTAGGTAGAAAAAATTACAGCAGAGAATGAAAAGTTTTCAGAAAATAACAAAATGCTTGAAGAGCAAAACAACATTTTCCAGGAAAATAACAAAGAGCTGACATCTACAGTTAGTGACCTTAAAGAGCAAGCTGACAAGTTTAAAGATATTTATCAAAGATTGCTAGCGGAAAATGAAAAGTTAGCAAAAATCAGAGATGGCTTGCAAGAACAACTTACGGTTCATTCTTTTGTCTCTTTCTATTTTTTCTTTTTTTCTTTTTTTTTTTTATGAATCAATCCCCATTTTAACATTTAAACTATTTTCCTCAGGGATTTCAAAAACTTCAAGAAATGATATTTTCACAGTTAAACGAAAAAATGAGAGCAATGGATCGATCTTTACTTGAGAAGATTGCTGTTGATATTGAAATGTTGGATGGTGACCAAGGTCGTTAAATAAATTATTTAAAATTTCGACAATATCGTAATTAATAATTACTTTATATATGTTTTATACGCCATAATACGCCATGAAATAGTTTATTTTGTTTTTCTAAATTAGGTTTGTCAAAAGACGAATTCGATCGTTTTATGAAGCGTGTTCCTACTCATTTAAAACAAAAGTTTCAAAAAATTGCCGACGATTTTAGTAAGTTTGACAAAAACAAAGACAATGTTATCGATTCAGATGAATTTGGAGCAATGCTTGATCAAGTCATGGAAAGCGAAGGAATGCATAAATAGAAAAAGTTGAAGCAATAAATTTGTGTTTTATGATGTTAGTGGTTTAGTGTGATTTCTTTTTAAAGTTTTGCTATTTTTGTATTTTGCTATATTTTGTTATTATATTTTTATATAGAAGTTGGGTTCATGTATATATTTGTTCAGAATCAGGTTGTATTTTTGTAGAGATTTTTTAATAATTTTTTAAATTTGATACAATGTTTTATCTAGCAGTGAAGACATTTTGGTTAGTCTAACAGGGAAAACATTTAAATTGGTCTAGGAGCCAACATTTAGGTTTCGGTTGATTTTGATATAGTATTTTGACACGTGATTTTTATAATATTGTATTTTTATATCGTATATTTTTGTGAAGATTTTTTATTTATTAGTTTATGTTAATCGTTTCATTAAAAAAAGTAAAACTCGAAAGTTTTTACTCAGACATTTGTTTCTTATTTTTATTGCGTCATTCTCCTTTTTATTGCGTCATTCTCCTTTTGTTTATCAACATTTTATTATCTGATCCAAAGTTGTCGTTAATAAGCGACGCCATTTGTTAAATTAGTTTGGTAGAGTTTATAATATTTGTTTGCGTAAATCCCTCTAATCACTTACTAAAATACCAATGAACTTTCGATGGAAATCTAAAAGATCAGTGAAAACTCATGGAGTTTGCTAGATTGTGTGGCAAAATTTACTGAAAACAATAGATTTGGCTGGAAGTTCACTGGAATTCTAACAAAAACTTCACTGGATTTCCAGTGATATAAAACTTTGCTGGAAGTTTACTAGAAATACTTTGCTGTAATTCCAGTTACCGGAAACATTACTGGAAGTTTAGATGAAATAATTCTTTTAATATTTAAGATAACCTTGTTTTTTGTATCTTAATGTCCGTTATTATTATTATTAATAATTTTACTCTAAAACCAAACATCGGTATGCTGTTTGACAATTTTCTTCGCTTCAAAAAGCAAATGCTTATTTAAAATAAAAAAATTGATAAAATTTAAATAATATTTAAAATGTTTATTTAAAATATAAAAATTGATAATATTTTATTTAAAATAAAATAATAAGTCTTAATCATAAAATTTTATAAATAAAATATTATATCGTGTTGTATGTATAGTATAATAGTAATTATAGTATAATATATGTACTTATATATAGAGTACTGTATATTGTATAGAATCATTTTATGATACTATATAATATATAGTATTGTATATTTAAATTAAATATACAATACTTTATATAGTAAAATGATACTATTATCATGATCGGTTGAAATTTGGTTGTTAACTGAGTTTTCTTAAAGACTACTTAATTGTAACGACTTTTTTTACATAATTATGCTTACATAATTATACTTACATAATTAGTTTTTATTTCAACAAATATAAATTAGGCCTAAACATTACAACGTGCAAGTAATTTAATTTTTTGTAAAGTATCTGCCATTATCAACACAGTTTTATTTTGCGTCACTTTCTTTGAGGCATTAATCCGTAAATCTCCAAAAATTTTAACACTATTTGCATATTTGCCTCTTTTCCTCAATATTCTTTTCAGTTTGTCAGATTCTTTTAAAACAAAATTGGTTCTATTTTTCTTTTTTGAATACTCTTCGAACAAAAAAACTACTGCATTTAAACTTAGTAGCTAAATTTTGTTGTGACTAAGTCGGATTTCGATGAATTGAGTCGAATATTGATTTTGCCTTCTTTTTGGAAATAAGTTTTGATTTTCCACCATTTCCTTTTAATAAAAAAAGAGTATTATATGTATTTATGTGAAAGTTCCATGATAAATTCTCGTCAAGAAGCACACCAAGAAATTTAGATGATTGAATTCGTTCAATAATTGTGTTGTCTATACTAAGAGTTAGTAAAATTGAGTAGCTTTTTTTTTTGGTTGGGGTGAAATAAGATGTATTTAGTTTTGTTTAAGTTTATAGACAATTTGTTAGCTCTGAACCATGTGTTAAGTTTAATAAGTTCTAAGTTTGCGGTTATAAAGAGGTCACTGATTGAGCTAGAAGAATAAAACAGATTAGTATTGTCTGCAAAAATTATGCAATCTAACTTAGATAAGACTTTAGGGAGGTCGTTGACATAGATTAAATATAGAATAGATCCTTGAGGGACACCACATTTAGTTTTTAGTTGTTTCGAGTTGTTAAAGTGATCTTTAGTAACACTTTTTTTGCGCTTTAATTTGTTTTACAAAACCTTAGATGGCATTTTCAACATTTTTAACACTATTAACGCTTTTATTAATGTAATTAAAACTAACTAATTAGTTTGCCAACATCAACAAAACACTGTGTGATACTGAAAAAGTTAATTGTGTTGAAGACCGAAGGAAAAAGAGTCATACAAATAAGAGTTTTTTGTGACATTTATGTTGTAACTTTACATCCTAATAACCAGTGTGCAAATTCTTTCAAATATTTTACATCATTTTATCTTTATCAGAAATGCAATTGTTTTCAAATTTTAAACATCTGTAAACAGCTTTAAAATGTTAGATTTAGCAGATCTCGATGAAAATGGGCATAAATTAGACTTGTTACTAAGATTGATGGAATTCCTTTTAAATCGTCAAAACAGTCCTTGTGGCCTTTTTGACAATTTGTTTTATTTTTGTAATTGGAACATTTGTAGATAATATACACTGTATTGAGCTTGTTGTTATGAAACCTATATTTTCTTTCTGGCTATTTAGTACTGTTTTTTATGTTTAAAATCACTTTAATGTTACGAACAATCTTTTAAACTAAATTACATCTTTTTCTTTACAATCATAAAAACTGGTATTAATCCAGCTGTGTTGCATTTAATAACAGGTATAAAAAATTTCTCATTCTCTGCAATTATACAATTTTTACATAAACTAATCTTCAATTTTTTTTACAGAACTAACAATAAACAAGTTTCCTGACTTTCCTAAAGGTGATGTCTCTTGCTCTCTGCAAGAAATTTATGAAGAATGAAGAGCTTATTTTAACAAGGGTATTATATTTTAATGAACAAGTAATTTTTTATAGTTAAGATTATTATAGATTTAATATGTTTCATTTCCGTATATTTAATTGTATATTCTTATTTTTGCAATAATAATAACAATAATAAATATTTGTAATAATGATATTTGTAATAATAATTTGTAATATTAATAAATATAATAACTGTATATTCTTATTGTATTTCTTTTATTGTCACATGGCTAATCAATTGCTGCTTCTCAAATAATATATATATATATATGTATATATATATATATATATATATTTATATATATATATATATATATATATATATATATATATATATATATATATATATATATATATATATATATATATATATATATATATATATATATATATATATATATATATATATATATATATATATATATGTATATATATATATATATATATATATATATTACTATTATTATATATAGTATATATAGTATATATATATATATATATATATATATATATATATATATATATATATATATATATATATATATATATATATATATATATATATATATATATATATATATATATATTATTTGAGAAGCAGCAATTGATTAGCCATGTTACAATAAAAGAAATACAATATGAATATACAATTATTATATTTATTAGTATTACAAATTATTATTACAAATATTATTATTACAAATATTTATTATTGTTATTATTAATGCAAAAATAAGAATATACAATTAGATATACGGAAATTCTTTATATTGAATATCTTCTTTTTTTTTTAGCTCTGAAGATCAAGCGGAAAAGAATGTGTTGTATGATTTTTAAAGAATGTAATAATAGTAATAATATCAAAAATATAAGATACATTAAAATAGTTAATTTGCGTAATATAGCTATATATTTTTCCTTGATAAAGCACCAGAAAAAGTAAATTAAAAACTCCATTTACAGAAAAAGTGTTTTAATTATCGACTGACGAGTTACCTAATTTATTATCAGTGAGTTGATTGTTTATTTTTTGAAAAAAATTTATGTAATTAAAATTGTGTTTCGGAGCTTACTTTCACTTTGTATTTATAAAACTAGATATTAAAAATAAATGTTATACTACAAATTTTTAACTTTCTCTGCTGAGTTTGTCTTAATCACATTCATTGTTAATAACTGTCTTAATTGAATTGTTTAAAATATTTATAAATGTTTTATATAAAAAAAAGTTCACTGGAAGTTAACTGGGTTTTGAAACAACTTCACTGAAAGTTCGCTAGAAAAGATCACTGACAGTTTGCTGGGTTTTGGAACACTTTTTCACTGGAAGTTCACTGGATTTTTTGTAAGGGATCTATCCGCCATGAGTTTAGCAAAATATGTAAACAAAAGTTAGGATAAAAAACTATTAAAAATTCTTGTTTTGGAGACTGAAAGTGAGATTTCAGTAATTATATGGATCCGGTTAACTGTTAATTATATGGATCCGGTTAACTGTTAATTATAAGGATCCGGTTAACTGTTAATTATATGGGTCCGGTTAACTGGTCTGGTTTGGTTAAAAAAAATCTCGCCGGTATTAAAAGTTATTTTAAAGATTTGAACTTTTTATGTATAAACAAGTCAAATATAACAAACGGAATAGGTAATTTATTAAAGTAATAAAAATATCTTGATATACCATGTGTACCGGCAAAAAAAGAGCGTGAAAATGAAACACAAGTAAATGCTTGTCTTTTGATAAACAATCAAAATGCTTGTCTTTTGAATCAAGCCAATAAGACAACTATTTTTCGACTTTTTTGTAGAAATCAAAGTGCTGCTCAGCCAATGTGTGTCCCATCGATCAAAACAAATGGTAGTTGGAAAAAACTAAGTCTGATGAATATGGCGGGTGGAGTAGCAGCTAACAAAATTACTTCGCCGTGTCTTTTGGTCCATTCTGATTATTTTTTGACCAATGCACGGTTTGAATTGATCATTTGTTGTCTGTAGCAACAATAAACTGTATTAACAGTTTTTCCTGGATTAGCTCACAATTTTTTTTGTTTAGATTTCTTAAAATAAATCTAGTTTCATCGTCAGATTCAAAGTATTATCTTCATTCGACATTGCTTGCAGCTTCAATGTTCTTCTTTCCTCACCTCAAAATTGTTATCTCTGACCTGTTGAAACCATCTTTGCCTGTTGGCTCTGATAGAGAATGATCATCATATGCCTTGACAAACATTTGATGCCACTCTGCAGTACTTTTCTTTAAATAAAAACAAAAAATTAGTGCTTTCCGCAAATCATCACGTTCTGATAAAAAGGTCAACATTTTAAACACGATTAAAAATGAGTTATTTTTTCAATGACACAATGTATATTAAACATGTTTGACAGATGTTATACCAATTAACCAAAAAGAAGTATTAAGGATCGACGAATTTGTATCTTAA